AATTAAGTCCAAACAAGAAATAATCTCTTCCTTCTTCATAAATAAATGTCCAAAGTTTGACCTCTCCCCCCCCCCCCCCAAAATCAGGGAAAGATCATCCATGCAATTTAGTCATACCTTAGGACCAGAAAGTGGCTAAGATGTTTGGAGAACCTCTAACTATTACATCTTTTTTCACATTCCTGGTATCTCAAAAGTTCTTGGAACAATAGAAAGTGGAAAGATTTTTAAAAAATATTACATACAGAAGGTCCCATTAAGAGCTCAGCTTCCTGATATTCAACTCCCTTCGTTGTTGCCATATCATAAATGGAAGCTAGCGCAGAAGAGGCTACATCCACGAGAGCAGGAGTATTGGGAAGCACCAGCTGGCAGACAGACTACACCAATTGCACCAATTACATTCTTGTTCTGGGATGCAGCGAATACACTTTCAAACAGGACTCAGGAATCAAATGGGCATTTCTGCAAATCCAATGTGCATTCAAGAGCCGTTTCTCCATGAACTGTGCAAGCCCACTTAAAGATGAAACCAAGAGATAACGTAATGAAGAGCAATCTTATTGTCTTCTTGAAGGGAGCTGCCAAGGCTAGACTTCACATGTGCTCACTCTTTTTTCTAGCAATAGTTATAGAATTTCATCCCAGGGAAGAAAAAGCGATGGGAGATTTTAAACAGGATTTGATTTTTCAGCAACAAATATAAGAGCTACAAAAAAGTGCAAATAGCAACAATGGTCCCATGATGTCCTGAACTTCAGACATAGCCTGTTAGCCTCTCTAGAGAGAGCAAACTTTGTAGGTCTAAGTTGATTAGATACAAGGCTTTTAACAAAACAGAGGGGAGGGAAGACACTAGTCTGCAGTGTTGCCGTTAACAAAAAACACAAAAGTGAAGTTAGTTATAAAAAAAGTATCAACTGAAGCAATAGGAAAAAGGAACATATGTACAATTTTCTATATTTACAAAACAAAAAAACCAACTCCTCTCATTTTGAGATTGGAAGTATTGATCACTTTTTCTTTAAAAAAAACACTAAAAAGTCTTAAAACACATGGCTTTACAAGCTGCTGCTCAGAAAATATACAACCCCAAGTTTGACTTTCATTTAAATACAAATGTACAAAATGTAAACTGAGACAATAGAGAAATTTACAAAACCTTTCCTTTAAAAATAATAAGGACGAAGTTCAGTTTCTAGTTAGGATGCAATTTTAAATACGTGCAAGTTGTCAGCTTCCAATTTTCTATTGCGGTATTGTACAATGTTGAGCCATAAGATCTCAAGTTCCACCCCCAAAAACAGACCTGAGAGTAAATGTCTTCATAAAATGGGAAGCTTCCCTAGATGGAACAGACAGGAGGGGGTAAACTTTCCGTGGTTAGAAACTGTTGATCTTCTAGCTCGATGGTGGGTGGCTCCTCTCATCCTTGATGCTTGATCCTCTACCAGTGGAAGGATGTAATATCCATAAGCCAGAAAAAGCTAACTGCTCCCAGTAGAGTTTGAACTGACGTGATTGGAATTGATGTGATGATTTAAATTGGTCTTTGAGTTTGGAGAGCTCTTGGAATTGTTCTGATGCTGGAGAAATTTTTTAAAAAATGGAAGAAAGATGTGAAAAAGTTAGTTTTTCCAAATCATTCTAGATGTATTTGCCTGCAATTTCCAGAAAATATAACTATTTGCCTGTGATGCTCTGTATTACATCTGTCCATTTGATTGATATAAAGTGTGGCATAAAAAAAGGGGATATCATAGAGGGATAGAAGAAAGAGGGGTAGAGAGGGTGGGAGAGAGGACTGGAGGGAGGGGGAGAAGGAAGGGAGGGAGTATATCGTGAGAGAGGAGTGGTAGAGGGGGAGGGGAAGTAGGGTAGAGGGGAATGATGGAGGGAAGANGGAAAGTTGGAGGGGGGCGAAAGAAAGGGTGTATGGAAGGTCGAAGAGGTATATTGGGTTTTTATTCTTGGGGGTATTGTTGACAAGAGGAATGGCTGTGTTTATTGTTTATGCATATATACTCTGCATTGGTTATGCACAGTATATATGTGACTGTACGAAAATGAAAATGTAAAATAAAAACACATTTACATGAAATCCAAAAAAAATAATAATAGTGCAATGAACATAATGTGAATCACCAATGTTAAAGAAATTGTGTGGACTGAGAATGCTCTCCTGATTATACAGAGAAAATAAGGTAGAACTTTTTAAGACCTATAATCAACAAATTATCTGAATTTAATTTTCTACGCTTAAAAGGATTATATTTATCTACTTTACTTTTTGTGTTTTAGCACCTACTGCTCTGATAGTAGGAAAAATATAATCATGCAGAGCTGTAATTATTTATAATAAAGCAAGTGCAAGTTTGAGTACATAAAATGACAACAGTTTGTTGAAATAATTGAGATCCAGTTATAAAGTAATATAAGTCTTCTTGAAAACCATGGAAGTTCCAGTGGCTACATGGACACAATCCATGGTGCTTTCTTGGCACTATCTTCTTCCAGGGTGTGTTTTTAAACAATCCTAGGTTAGTCTGAAACCTGAAATTTTCTTAGTAACTACTAAGCAAATCTATCACCCAGACTCAATTAGGTGCTACTATCTGCTCGGATACCTCAGTTTAGAATCATTTTCAATCACAGCAGGAATTACATCAAGATATCCATCTTATGTTTCTTCCCTCAGAAGATGTATGGAACTAATTTGAGTTTGGATTCTCTATTATATATATTTACACTTTCATTGTTAAGCTATAGATGAATAGTGACCAAAATGTATAACTGATTTGAATTTGGAATGTTTGTGATGTAGGCATTTTTAATATTGTAATTTTTAAGTTGTTGATGAACAATTTTTGAAATTCAGGATTCACATATAAGCCCCGAGGTATTTTTTAAAAAACTTGGACTGTTATTCAATCAATCTCTTTTTTGTAACAACACTGAAATTGAAAAATAATTAAGAAAATGTATTGAAAAAGACAGTGAAGGGTATCTAAGACATGAATCAATCTAACTCAAGTTAATATAAAATTAATTTTATACAAAGAACAATCACGTTCATATCACTTTTCATTATTATATTTCACCAGTAATTTTAAAACATTTTGCACAAATAACTTTTTTGTTCTTCTTCTTTATTCCATTATTTTTCACAATTTGTTTTGATCATTTGTATCATACGCATTTGATGTGCGAATTGTACATTGGTTTTGGTATTTGAAGTCATTTGGGAACTTAAATTTCTCCATCCATAGAAGCAAGCAATCTGTTTTCTTAACAGTCCCCTCTTTTTTACTTTTGGAAGTTATCTCATTCTAAGGCATGCAGGAATAAAATGCAATCCCTCAAAAACCAAACCCCCAGCTTGCCCTGAACAATTTCCCACAACATGATGGAAAAACAAAATGGCGGCTGTCCAGAGCAGTTTCAAAAGCTTTCCAGTATGAAAGATGAATGAATGGGGGGGAAATTGAAACATCCCCTTATTCACAATTACATTCTTTTGTAGTATATTTTATTTTTTTAATTTATTCCAGAAAGGGGGGCACAAACCTAATTTCTCTCACTGGAAGCCATCACCTAATGCAACTGAATTTATTTTTAGCAGTAGCATAACCAACCAAGAGGAGGATCCAGCTAAATTATCTAACTAATAAAAGTGACTTTATGGAATATGAAGAAGAGACACTTGACATTACTTAAATAAAGGAATTTATTTTTTTCCTAAAAAAAAAAATCCCAAAACAAAACTGGAAAACAAAACAGTGGTTTGATCTAAATACAGCAGCACTGCAATATTATCAGACATGTACAAGATTTCAAGCAGTCAGAAAACACAGAAGCCGTAGATGTTGGTAACAACCTCAAATTAAAAATGGTTTTCATTCAACAATTAAAAAAAAAAACACCTCCCTGAATATTAAAACCAAATAAACAAAATCCTTTGGATACTAGAATTATTATCATGATTATTTTACAATATCAACAGCCACTAATTTTTCTATTTGAGAACATTTGTTTCCACTTATTCTATAGTTCGTTAAGTTATGAAAAAATGTTATGAGAAGCAAAGTTTATTTTATTTATTTCGCAGACTACAATATGACAAGTGCTTTAAAATATTTACTTCTGAATGTTTTTTAATTGAACCAATGAAGTAGTGTGCAAATGTTATTTTTTAAAAAAAGTTTAGTGTTAAGTATATTACTAATACATATCTCACTATTTTAATCAAGAGTCTGCTATGGTAGTCTACAACTGAATTTGTGAATATACTTAAAATTCAGAAATGCAACTCTGAACTAATATCAACTACCTCTTTTTTTTAGAGTTTAAAAAATAATAACCACGAATCGCCTTAGCATTGCAAATTATGGCACGAACAGAAATAAAAATCTTTTAATAAATAAGCTTTGTTTTGGTCCTCAGCGTATGGCACCTGTGTCACAAACATGAAGAATAATTGTTGCAATGTTCAGACATGGAGTATCACCCTGTTTTAGATACATCTGAATGATAGACGCAGTTTTGACATTTTTATAAGATGTTCCATTCTGACAAAGTCAAACTGCATGTGAAATCAGGTTGTAAGCCGAGTATGGTTTAGTATGTGCAAAAGAGGAAGAGGAGCAAGCACCCAGGAATCTAAAAATATTGCTCTTCCAACATACCCCTATTTGGTAAAAAATAAAGAATCTGGGACTTTTTTTGATTGTAGAATGTATGACATTCTTTGAATATATTGTGCTTCATCCGAGTGTCCCAGCGGGGAGGGCGAACTACTCATAATCCTGTTGAATAGGGAAGAAGAGCACATGGGCTGCATTAAGAATATCCGAAGTTCACCCCCAGAATATCTAACTTAAAAGTAGCAGCTAGTAGTAAATAGGCAGATGGAGCTTAACTATCAAACAAATGTTCTAGTTTTATAAAAAGTAGAATCCCTTCCCTTCAAACAGATTAATTCTCCTAGAGAGTGACCAATCCAAGCATCAATTGCACATAGAGAGGATGAGGATGGATAATTCAGAATGGTGCACCTATTAGTATTTCTGGATGAGGGTTTATGGAATTAGAACGCAGTGTACTTATTGATCTTAATATTAATGGTGTCTGACTTCCTATTTCTTATACTCTCTATTACAATACAAAGGGTACTATTGTACTCTTAATACTATTGTACCCTCACATTTCATTGTGAAATGAAAATCTAGATTGTTAGATAATATTAAAGATAATTTATTGAGTTTCCTCAGTCAGATAATAAAAAAAAAACACTGCCTAAAATAGTGACTGCCCGAATGACAGCTTGACCTCACGGAATTTTATATTTTTGTTACTCTCTATACCTTGACTACCAAGGGGGTAAAAAATAAATAATTGCAGAGTAATTCACTTCATTCATAGACAAATAAGTAATTCAAAAAGTAGCTCATGTTCCACGATTCTTATAAATTAGGTGAGAATTCCATGTAGATGTATGAACATTTGTAGTGAGCAAAAAAAATGTTTATGAGTTCCAGTTTAAAGGTCTTATAGCATCCCACAAGCTATTTTGAATGAATGAATGAATGAATGAATGAATGAATGAATGAATATACATATATGTTTTCTGAGGTTTTCGCGGGTGTTAGTATGTAGGTCTTTGGTTATTTGGGTTTTCTCCCACGTAAAATTGGAGGTGTCTTGGCGACGTTTCAATGAAGTCTCATTCGTCATCTTCAGGCTTCGTGCTTCCNTGCCTAAGTGTTGAAATTCACAAAGCTTTCTGTTAATTTTCATCTATTACTGCCATCATATACTGCTTTTACTGCAGTTGGCAACTTTCTATATTTGCAAAAAGTTCCATTATTCAAGCATTTCCATTTTATCATACTTGACTTACTTTCTCACATTCTTACATTTCTAAGTGACCTTCAGAAAAGCAGTACATACTATGCGACTGTACTTATCAAATTTTGTTTGATAATTTTGTGCTACTTGTGGCATCATTTTAATCAGAAGTCTAACAAACACCCCTCTGGTAAACTGAACAAATTTATCCTATGGGTTTGGGGGGGCTTTTTGCATCTAGTCTTGTTACCTTTCATTTTGTACAAGGGAACCATAATGTGTTTTTCCACTTGTCAGACACAGATGCAATCTTTACTCAGGTGCTAAATAAATCACACTGCACTTCATTGGCACCCATACCCATTTTTCTGCTGCTACATCATCTATATTTGTTTTTAAAGCTTTATGATTTCTTTTTCAGCATTTCGTTCTTGGACACTAACATTTATTTTTTTTCATTATTCGTTTATTCATTTCTGTCCCAGCCTCTGAAATCATTCTTCTAGCACTCTTTCTCTCTTCAATTTCATCACCCTGCCCCTAATTCTTCACTTGTCTTTTTTCATGTTTTCATCCATTAATGATTTAAACCAAAACCAAACTTTGAAATATACAGATTCCTTTTAGGCAAATAATTCATTAAACCTTTACATTTTCAAGCCTATAAATAGTCCAATCACTTTTTCTGCATTCTTATTTCATTCCCAATTATCTATTCATATGTCCCAGCAGAATGATTTTTCTTTAGACTTCCTTAATCAAGAAGTTGAATTGAACTGAATATTTTAGTCGACTAAGTGTGATAAAGCACAAACGAATTTTGAGGAAAATTGCCCAAATTTGTGTAACTCTTGTCAAAGAATTTCTCTGGTTCTTTCATTTCATTATCCTTATTTGCATTACATTATATTATCATGCCAAGTATATACTATTTTACCTGTTTTTATTTCAGTCTTCTTTCTTATTACTTGATAGGGAAGAAACGGCTAAAGGAATTTCACTGAGGAATATTAGAAACTAAAGTAGCTCAATGATTATGGACTAGTAATGTCAAGCTTCATTCAGTAACAAAAATAAACTAAGGAAAAGATGATTGAACTCAACTGGACTCTCTTCTGAACAAACATATGTGGTTAGACTATTAACTTCATTGATCATAAAAATGAGGAGGAAAACAGATTAAAAGATTTTTCCAGAGGATGTTCAGCCTTTGTCCATTAGAGGGCAGCAATAGAAAAGTTAACATGAAATATTTGTATAACCTTGCAATTTAGAAATCATTAAAATAATGAATTTATGTAATTAGGCCGCAGAAACATATGTAATAGAAAGTTAACTGCAGTTTGTTTCCTCCAATTGCTTAACTAGCTTGTTTTTACAAGCATTCTTCATTTTGAGGGAACAGAAGCAGGTAGATGCACACTCCAGCCAAGATTTGGCAAATGATCCTGGAAAATTCTCCAGCTAAAATGTTCCCAAGGCTGGACAAATCTAAATGAAAAGGGAACACTAATTACAGTATCCCCGGCACAGCATATTACTGAAGCATTTAGTTTACAAACACCGTTTACTGACGTTAGGAAACATCACAGGAATTTTTCAACAGTGAGCCTTGTTTCTGCAACTTGGATCTGGTTGCGCTTGGAAGCAACTGTGAACGCATTCAGTGCTTAAAAGCAGGCCTGGGTGGATGACACACGGCAAATGGAACAAACCTCTAAGATTTTCCTGCATGTGTCAATGTTGGCATCAAGGCACCCACAGTTTCAAGTCATGGTCATTTCAGAGGGTGTTGCTGAACTGTGTTTTACCGGAGCACAACACCATTCTGAATATGGCAGCACAGGAAATTTATGTTTCTGAACTGATGCTAGTAAGAATCAAAAAAAGTCTAGGAAACTCCTTTGATTCAGGTTTTATTTTTCCAACATGCTCATCACTGCCCTAAAAAATGAAAACTTTCATTGGTGAAATTAGTGGAGAGGGCCCTGTGGAGAGATCCCTTTTAATTTATTTCATTTTTATCCCTACCTTTCAAGATCACAGNGCTGTGTTTATTGTTTAATGTTATATGGCCCCGGTTATGCACAGTATATATGTGACTGTACGAAAATGGAAATGGAAAAATAAAAACACATTTACAGGGAAAAAAAGGGGGGGGATATCACATTCTTTTAACTGCATGTCCATTTACTCTCTCACCCTCAACTCTCCTTAAGCCACTGGGTTCTGAGGAGACTTTTGTTTGGGTCAGGACTCTTGAGCTACTACAGTTTTACTATCTGGTAGAATGCAAAGCATCAGCGTCCAGCATCTTCTTTATATACAAGAATGCTTCTAAATCTCCTATATACTAAACCTGATTGGCATTCATAGAATCTGCCAACGGTGGCCATTTGCAAAGTCTGCCTATTTGTCCTAGCACTATGGCACTAGACAAGTTTCTTAATGTGACTTCTAGTACCTGTATGTTTTATGCAGTGGTGAAATTCAATTATTTTTTTTACTACCGGTTCTGTGGTGGGCGTGGTAGGAGAAGGCTACTGCAAATTCCCATTCCCGCCCCACTCTGGGGCCAGCCAGCCAGAGGTGGTATTTGCCAGTTCTCCGAACTATTCAAAATTTCCGCTATCGGTTCTCCAGAACCTGTCAGAAAGTGCTGAATTTCACCCCTGGTTTTATGACAAGCCATGTCTACCTTGCTAGTCAATTATGAATAGGTAACGGCTTATCCTTCCAAATGTTTTACAAACACACTGCCTTGGGTTCCAACTATGTCTTTCAGTAGAAGTGGGATTTCTTATACCATGCTCAGGCAATCAGTTTCATTTTTTGGTCAACAGTAATTATATATCAGGACCTAAGGCCTGAAGAAAAGGTGATGTTTTAGTTTCTAAATTCTCTTTCACTACAAATTTGCCCAAATCCATCATGAGTAGCTGCAAGCCAACATGACTTGAGGACACCAGCCTGGCAAAAGCTTGTTTTCATCCATCACTAGGCTATAAGGATAAATGCCATATCCAATGACACGATTTAGACATTTTGGAATATAGATAAATATTATTGAGTATTTATTTAATAAAATATATATGCATTAGGAAAGGTTTAGAAACTCTTACCTGACGTTTAAATATTCGATGCAGCAATCCTTTCTTCGGTGGTTCTGGAGGATAGTTTTTGTTAAGGTCTGGTGAGATAGTACCATTTGGTCCAAATAAGTTTAGTTCTTTAAAACATTCTGTTTCTATCATCTAGCAAGATGAAAGAGAAAAATTATTTATTGGAACCCACAATGAAAACCAGGGGAAACTCTAGCCTTATTATATAGAATTCATCATTTATAAAGACTCAACAGAATACACCTAGATAGGAGGAAGGTTGCCTGCTCATTGGAAGATAATCAGTTTTCAAGTTACTGTAAATACAGAGGCAACCTGTAGATAGTATCTTGCCAGTTTGAGCAATCTGCATCTATAAATATTCCATAAACAATTAGAAATGGACAGTCTTTGCCCTCTTTTTTTCACATGTGACATCTGGACTGAATTGCCTCTTACGTCTTTGGAATGTGTCACCTACCTCCTGGGAATCCAACTCTTACTACATTCAGGTCACATCAGGTGACCTTTGGTCAGTCACTCTCTCAACCTACCTTACTTATTGTGGGGGGGAAATATGAGAAAGGAGCATTATGTGCCATGATCAAGGCTCAGGATTCAGATTCTGAATCTAAAAAAGCTGCTCCACATGAGCATGTGGAATGTCAGCTTGATTAGACACCAAGCCCAAAGTCACATGAGGCTGATCAAAAACAGGCATCACATGGACATTGGAGCAGCCAGGTGATGATGATATAAAGCCACTGAGTTTCTGCACCAGGAATGTAGAAAGGAGAGCAGAGTAATATTCTATGAGACTCCTTGCCAAGTAAAGGAGTAAATCACTTGATTAGTAACAACCAGCTACAGCCTAATTTAAGAGGAAGCCCTGACCTTTTGTTGGAAATAATCATTGGATTTATGGTTCTTGTGCAAATGTTCCAATGAATCTTGTTGAATAAGAAACCATCAACCTCTCACTTCTGGACTGGTTGATAATCCTGACCTGGCTCTTGGAATCTTGGGCTGAAATTGGACTATTCTTCTGTGTGCTGCTATTAAAAAGCCAATCATTTGGACAAGTATTTGTGTGCTTTGCTACTATTATCTTTTGACCTTGAGCATACTGAATTACTACATGAACTGTGTGAGTCAGTACTGAAATCAGAAGCAGGACACGATGTGAATTTGAGCTCCTGAACCACATATAAGATATAAATCTAACATAAATGATTATAATAACATTCAGTATAACTAATAAATCCTTTTTAAAAAGCAACTTAGAATGTCATGAAACTTTCTCTAAATTTTGGACATCCTTCTCTACTGTCTTATCATTCCAGTCCAATTTTCTTCAGCTTGCTCCGTCTGATACAAACCTTACATGTTCAAAATATTTCTTTATTAAGAGTAGCAAAAATGGTGAATCTACAAGTGACTTTCACCACATATTGGACACAGCAAAACTAAACTAAATATTAGTTGGTCTTAATACCAATTAACTATCTCTTGCAGATGAAAGCAATAACGTCTTTCATTACAGAAAGCTGTTCTTAGCTTTTTTTATCATCAGGTAATTGTAGTCCTGTACGCAAAAAGACGATGTTTGAAATTTTAGAATTGCACATTTCGAAAGAATCATACAGTTACCTCATTTTGCCATGGGATAGATACAGAGCCTGTAGAAAACTTGGAATAGAAATCGTCATCTGTTTGGTCCAAGTTCACTCCCTTGACAGTGGAAAACTGCTCAATGTCCAACACATCTTTGCAGTACACTGCTCTTGGCTGCCCCAGCACAAAAAGAAAGAGTAGAAGTCAGATAGCACCAACATGTGGATGGTACTATTTTTGAGGTCATTCAGAACATTACTTGCTTTGGGCAAACAGAAGTACAGAAAATCCATGCTCATGGGTCAGGTGAGTGGGTTGTCCAATACAATCTATGTCCCCCAGACCTATTGCTCTCTCTTGCATCTCTTGCTACTCTTCCACCCACCTTCCTCAGCACTTGTATCCACTGCCTTCCTCACCTTGCACTGACTTTCATCTACTGCCACTGCCCTTCATACACTCCATCTTTCCGAGTCTACCCAATCCTTCTAAGCCTATTCAGTTTCTCCAAGCTACTCATGCTAGTTTTTTGCCAACATTAGCTTGATCCTTCTGAGTTTGTTTGGTTCTCCTCTCAACAGCATTCATAAATCTATACCCTTCCTTCTTGAAGGCTGCATTTTCTTCAAAAGAAAAAAAATGTGACTGTTTTCTTTGGGAAAGAGAGTTATAGACCTGAGAATTTTTTTTCTATAACAGGGTCCTCCATCATCATCATCATCATCATCATCATCATCATCATCATCATCATCANCATAGCAACTGACCAATGTATTATGGTACAATTCCCCAAGAAAGGAACCTATTGAGAGCTATCCTTGGTGATCCTAGTCAAGAATGCCACAAGCCTAGCAAGTGGTGCTCAGAAGTGATTTGGGACTGTGGCTACACAAATAAGGTCTGTCAAAGGAGGGTCCCAGCAAATGGATCCCAAGAAACGAAGGCAGCTTGCCTTTGAATGGGAACAAATATGACTTCCATCATGACCTCGTATTTTGATGACTCCTAGTTTAATGGTTTAATCTTTTTTAGGCGAGAAGTTCGAAACAGATCGGCGTTTCCAAATAGTGGTGGAAAAGCTGCTTAGCGGCAAGTCTGAATTTGAGAAGACACTGTAGATAGGACTGAGCTAGATCAGCAGTCTGGCTTGTTATAGCTTCAATAATTTATAAGTCATGAAGGCAAGGAAGTAGTTGTAGTGGGAAACATTTCAAAATATACATCTTTCCGAAGGGGGGGAACACATCTCATGGAAAGGCAAACAAAAGTCATTGAAAGCTTTCACTATATTATTGAATGAAACACTGGGAAAGAAACTTGTGAAAACTAAGGCTAGTTCTAGAAGGTAGAAAAATTTAATGTTTTCTAGGGCCATGATCAGCAAAGGACCTACAACCTCCATAGTGTCACTTCACATGCAGTGGACTTCAGATTTTATATTTTCTGCTCATGGGCTATGAGGGTTAAAGGTCAATACATCTGTACGAGCCCCGGGCTTGAAAAAGCTTTCCACGAGTAGTCTTAATCATTATCCCATCATTATCTGATCATTACAGTCTACTGATCGATTTCCACACCAAATGACCTCCTTACCATTTTGCAGATAGACTTTGCCTCTTCAGAGAACTTATGGGAATACACCTCTTCCATCTCCAAGACCCTCCTGTCTACTTCTTCCCGCTTCACCTTCTCTTTCCTTCCTCGAAAGGGTGACTGTCCTGCAATCATTTCATAGATTAGGCAGCCTAATCCCCAGTAATCAGGGCTGAGGGTATACCGCTGGTTATTCAAGACTTCTGGAGCTGGGAAAAAGAAAAGGGACAATGGAAAAAAGTTCCCCGTGTCTATATTGACGTCAGCATGACTACCAAGGCAAGAATGAAATAAGAGATTCCATTTAGTCTGGCCAAGGATCAATTTGATACTAGGGGGGAAGCTCAGTGGAACTTGTTTCACAGGTAATTACAATAATAAAAATAAGTCATTTATGTAGGTTCACTTCCGTATAGTTGGAAACGATTATTCTCCATGGTAGTGCAAATACGTATTTCCAGGATTTAAATGGGAATGGAGACCACTGTTTACCCTGTGATAATCTCCATAGTACGCAATACACAAGGATATCTGTCAGGTGGCAATCATTCAAAATACTTTACTTTTCCCTGTCAGAAAATATCAGAATGGATCTTTTCAAGGATCTGTAAAGGATATGGGTATCACATAAGCTTATCCCCAGGGTTGGAACTGGGCTGGCGGCGTCCTCGTGCACGCGCGCAGTGCACGCATGCGTACTAGCGCCTGTGCGATGCTCCAGCTGCCCCTGGAGGATAACGCAGGCGCTGTATGCGTTCTGTGCATGCGTGGAAGCGCAGAACTCATCAAAACCCGGTAAGAAACGCGGGCG